CTGACCCTAAGTGGCTCTTAAAGGGCCAGTCTAGACCCTTCCCTCCCTCCTCCCACTCCAGGCAGCAGGCTGGTGTATTATGTGCGCATGTGCACTGTGGCCACCCTTGCTAAGGCCATAGTGGTTGGAGGGCATGGGGGATGGGGGCAATGTGTGACTCTTCCCTAGCTCTGTTTTCCTTACGCCTCTCTTATATTATGGACCTCCATCTTTGTTTGATATCTACCCAAACCCAAAACAAGCCCTTTCACTGGGCTGGGGGTCACAGACACAGGGCTCCGAAAGCTGAGGGCTGGAGAAGGCGTGTGGATCCACAGGTAGATCCACCACCCCTTCTCGATCTCCTGGAGGCCCAGGGCAAGGGATGACAAGAACTACTGGCTAATTCTCAGCCAGCAGTGGGGGTGGGCAGGTTGGGGGCCAAGACTCCTAGGAGATGCCCTGAGCCCCACATTCCTAGCCTCCTTTCCCAGGGATCCAGGCTGTGGTCTGTGGAGGTGGATGACTTTCAAATCTTCCTTTCCTGTGAGGATGGTGACAGGCCAGAGAAATCTGCCTCTGAATTTTCTGGCTTCTCTCTCCTATTCCTCAGCAACTGAGCTTAAGGGGACAGGGGGAAATGGGTTTCTCCCCACCTTCTGCAAAAAATGTAGAAACTGTACCCTAGGGGCTATAGGAATACCAGGATGCTTGGAAAGTTCCTCCCCTATCTGCCTTCAATCCTTTCTGCTGCAAAGCTCTGCGGTCCTCTGAGGGGCTCTCCAGGATAGTCAGCCCCGCTTCCTGATACCTGAAACCCATTCCCCGCCTCCTCTGTGCTTCCTTCTCTGGCTCAGGAGGAGAGGGAATGTATGGGTGGGGGCCTTGGGAAAATGGCCATGTTAAAGATAGGAGCCCCCGGCTGCACCCCCCCCAGTGGACCCTTATTTATCACCTTCCAAACCTCACTCTCAAAGAAGCATAAATATTCCTAATTCCTGAAGGCCACCCTGGACTCATAAATTTGAGTGGGGAGGTGGGCAAGGGGAGGAGTGAGGGGCATGGAATGGGGAGCTTACTGCAGCCTTGGGGAAGCAGACTATCTCCTGGGGGAGGCGCCTGACTTGTCTGTCCCCCTGCAGACGCCAATGGGTCTTCTTAGGGAGGAGGAGGAGGAGCCTTTCTCTCAAGTATGTCCTTTGGGGAGTAGTCTTCTCTCACTGCACCTTTCCTTCCTCCCCTAAAAACAAACAAAAAAGCCCCAAAACTCTCCCTTTCTTCGGGCCTTCCCCGTGAGTTCTCTGTGGCTCTCCCTCCCTCTTTTCTTTGCTGTTACCTCTCAGCTGTCCTTTCCCGCGTCTCCCTCTCTCCCACCTCCCTATTGCGCCCTTCTCTGTCTTTGCTTATGCTTTCCCTTTTCAGAGCCATTGTGTGAAAAGGAAATGTCCGTCTCTTAATCAGTCTGGACAGTGAGGTTTGAAAAGTCCCCCTCTCGGTGCGGATCTCCCCTGCTTCGGCCCGTGTGGCCCCTCAAATGCCTTCTTTCTCCTCGGATCCTTGGACAAATTACCCAACCCCCCATTTATCTCCTCAACCTTCTCTCTGTCCCCCTGCCTTCCTTTCTGTCACCCTTTTGCCCCCTCAGTTTCCCCTTCGCTCCTCAGCTCGGAATCCTCTCTCCCTCTTCAGTCTCCTCTGCTCTTGCTGTCGGCCCCCACCCGCACCCCGCAGACCACTCCTCCGCCCATGTGTACCCCTCGGACCCCATCATCCCTCCAGTGCCCACCGCCACCACACCCCAGTTCCCCCTCCCAGTGTACGAAAGAGAAGGGAGGAGGGGGGTCTGAGGAACAGGTAGAGAGAGCGCCATTCCTCGAGGGGAGGGAAAGAGGAGGAAAAGCAGGGGCGAGGAAGAGGGACGCGGCGCGACGGGAGGGGCCTCCTCCCTCCCCGGCAGCTGCACCCACCCTCCCCGCGGTCGCTGAGCCGTAAATCAAGGCCAAGGCGGTTTGGCCAATGGTAGAGTGACTCGTAAATCGGCCTGTCAAGCTCAGCCAATCAGAGGGGGCGTTAAATCAAGTTCTGTCAGCGCTTGGCCAATGAAAGGCCCTGGGCTGACCATAAATCTGCCTGTAAGAGACAGCGAAAGAGAGCGAGCGTGCGAACGAGCAAGAACGGCCGGGGCGGGCGACTGGGGAGGGGGCGAGGGGAGCGCGGGAGCCGGGGAGTGGGGAGACGAGCTTAGGAGAAAAAAGGCGATAACAGAGGTACAGGAGATGAAGACAGCCTACAGGAGAGACGGACAGATGGAAAGAGACAAAGAGAAGCCGTGAGAGAGAGAGCGTCAGAAAGTCAGCGATAGAGCTCGGACTCGGGTGGGAGACGGAGATAAAGAGACAAAGGGAGACAGACGGTGACTTACACTCGTGAGCATGCAGGGCCTCCAGACACACACACTTCCCGAGACGCGCATGAGCAACGCACCACTAGGGACCCGGTGCATGGGCACGCGCCAGGCACGCCAGCAAGAGAGAGAACGCCTTAAGAAAGCCTGGCTTTTCTTCCGTTTCTTTCCCCACATTCAGCCCTTACTGAAGTTAGGAGCAGAGGTGGCTGTGTGAGCCGTGGAGGGTGGTTGCTTTCTTGCCAAGATCTGCCCTCTATGGTCTTAGACCCCAGGATTTCCTTCTGTGTCTCCTGAGTAACTTTTTTTGGTCCCCCAACGACTGATCATGGGGAAGTCCTTTCTGAGGTCTAACCTCAATCCCTGTTGCTGTACCTTTCTACTTGACACCTTTGTGAACTGCCTTCTAGGAACGTGGAAAGTAAATCCTTTTACAAGCCTTCAGAAAGTTGTCAACTTTCTGAATCTTAGAAGTTCTGAATAGGAAGGACTGTTAGGGATCATCTGGGCACTCATCCTAGTTTTAGAAAGGCAGATTTGAGACTCTGCCCTCAAATCACGGTCATCTAACTTACTAGTCCTTCGGCCTTGGACACATTTCTTAATCTATTTGTGCTTCAGTTTTCTCATTTGTAAGAAAGAAATTATAATAGACACCTCATGATAATTTTGTAAGGATTACATGAAACAATATATTTAAAGGGAACTCCACTGGGCACGTGTCAGGAGTGTACTCTGCACCCTGCTTTGTTCAGATGATAAAATCTGAGCCCCACAGTGGTCCAGAGATCTACTCAAGTTCCCATAGCTAATTATCAGAGAGCCTTGACTGAAACCTTTGTCTCTACACCCCTAAGCTGTTGTTCCTCATTTGTCCCACAGTTTACCTGTCTGGACCCCTGCCTTAGTACCCCTATCTTGCTTTGGTTTAGCTGCTGTGACTTTTGTGGAAGGAGGACACCCAGAAGTGTGTGTTTCAGATTAGGAGTCAGGATTCCTGGACCCTAGAAGTGTGTTGCATGTGACGGTATCATCTTCCCACCCCAACTGTAGTTCTTTCTGCCCTTAATATCTTCAGACTTTACTTTGTTCTCTCAAACCTTGGTCTTGAGATATGGAGGGGCCAACAGCTACTCACCCCAGCCCCACCCTAAATAGACAATCATATTTCATGAATAATAAATGTCTCATTCCTCACTTTTCTTCCTAAGCTCTGGGGAAAAGTGAAGGTGCAGATACATGGGTCTCTATTCCCTGGTCAGGAGTCTCTGGATTCCCAGTCCTGTCTTCTGGCTTCAGCTGGGAAGTCAGAAAAGAAACGCAGACAACCAGCGTCACCTGGTGGCCACAGGTGCTTCAAGGATGTCTGTAAGTATACACATTGTGGCAGGAGTTGGTCGCGCTGAAGGGAAGGAATTACGGTATGGTTTCCTCCTAGCCTGGCCCCTGAGCCTTTTTAACTAGAGTCTTTGTTCTCTCTTTCTTCCTTCTCCTTCTCCTTCTCCTTTCCTCGGAGTCTTGCTTACCTGCCCAGCCTGGAGTGCAATGGCGTGATCTCGGCCCATTGTAACCATTGTCTCCTCAGGTTGAAGTGATTCTCCTATCTCAGCCTCCTGAGTAGCTGGGATTACAGATGCCCACCACCATGTCCGGCTACCTTTTGTTTAATTTTATTTTTAGTAGAGACAGGGTTTCACCATGTTGGCCCTGCTGGTCTCAAACTCCTGGCCTCAGGTAATCCACCTGCTTCAGCCTACCAAAATGCTGGGATTACAGGCGTGAGCCACCTGTGCCCAGCCAGTTCAGTTCCATTTCTACAGAGCATGGAGTCTTCCTCCATGACCATTACTTTTGCACAGAGCGAGGGCTGGGGGGCTGGACCCACTGGAATAGATATCAAAGCTGGATTATAAAACATTTTTGAGGCCGGACACGGTGGCTCAAGCCTGTAATCCCAGCACTTTGGGAGGCTGAGGCGGGTGGATCACAAGGTCAAGAGATCGAGACCATCCTGGTCAACATGGTGAAACCCCGTCTCTACTAAAAATACAAAAAATTAGCTGGGCGTGGTGGCACGTACCTGTAATCCCAGCTACTCGGGAGGCTGAGGCAGGAGAATTGCTTGAACCCAGGAGGCGGAGGTTGCGGTGAGCCGAGATCATGCCATTGCACTCCAGCCTGGGTAACAAGAGCAAAACGCCGTCTCAAAAAAATAAAAAATAAAATAAAATAAAACTTTTTTGAGCTGAATAAACTTGTTTGGAGGGATAGTGGATTCTGACAGCAGTGGTTAGGGGCAGAGGCCATTTCTGGGAAGTTAAACAAAAAGGCAGGCTAATCCTTTTAAATCACCTCCCATGTTTTATTACCTAGAAACTCCTCTCTGAAGGCTATGTCCCAGGCCAGCTGCTTCCTGCTCCTGCTTTGACCTAGGTACCCCTGATTCCTTAGCTATTAAGTTCTAGCTCCTGGGGGTCACAGGGATATGTGTGAGCATGCACATGGTGACAGGATTTGGTCATGCAGGAGGGATGGGATGGGATGGTCTCCTCTTAGCCTGGGCCCTTAGCCTAACTGTGACCTGTGTCCTTCCCCAGAGACCACACCTGAGCATTACAAGCACAGAATTTATTTATTAACAGTTAATAATGCTCCTTGAGCCGTCTAGGGCTGAAACATTGATCCAGTGATGGGGAAACTTGATTTGGGAGGCTGGGGAGAGGTGGTTGTGAAAATGCCCACAGGTGTTATTTCACCTATTCTCCTATCAGCTGGCCACTTTGCTTCTGGAGGAGACAGTCCTGAATTCTGGTGACTGGGGTCACAGTTCTAATGGAGCCTACGGAAACTCCCGGGCCCTCGTTTTAAAAGGGAGCCATATGCTTGGCGGAATTGGCGGTTCATGGCTGCATAGAGCACAGGGTTGATGCAACTGTTGAGCCAGGTGAGGTTGGCAGCGAGCATGTGGATCACCCGGGGAGCCCGGACTCTGGCATCCAGAATGTTGAGCAGCAAGAAGGGGATGTAGCTCAGGGTAAAGCAGAGGAACACAGCAAAACACATTCGAGTCACCTTCCCAAATTCCGACGAAGAATCCGGAGTTCTTTGGGCTCCTTTAGTTGGCTGGGCTTTGACAGATGCTTCTGGAGGGCTTTTCTCCGCCATTGGCTTAGCTATCTTGCTGTTGATCTGGTCTCCCACTTCTGATGAGTCTCCTTCCAGGGTCTGAGTGGTGGCAGCACTAACTGGCTCAGACGAAATCCCCTCACTGGGTGCTCCTGATGCTAACCTGCTGTCCAGCTCCTGGAAACGACCCGGCGTGGCCTCGTCAGTCCCGGCCACGTGGTTGGAGTGGATGCTTGCCTGTCGCAGCTTGTATTGGACCAGTGCCTGTGCTGCTCGTTTCACCTGGCGGTGGATGAGGCAATAGAAGATGCCAACACAGCTGAGCCCAAGCACAAAGTAGATACCCATGAGGATGGTGGTGTAAGGCCGGCCTCGGATGCGGTCAAAGCTGCAGGTGCAGACTACAGGTACCAGGATATAAATAGGCCAGAGTGGGGCAAAGCTGGCCACGCCTATAACCCAGGTGCCCACCAGTGCCAGCACTATCCCCTTGGCACTGAACACTTGGGGAAAAAGCTTAGGGTGGGCAATGAGGAGGTAGCGTCCCAGTGCGATGAGGCAGAGGGTCAGGATGGAGACAGAGTTGGAGGCAAAAAGGAGGAGCCCAAATACCCTGCAGAAGGTGGCTCCGGTGCGCCAGTGAAGGTGGAGGTAGGTGTCCACAGAGAAGGGCTGAAGGAACATGCAGTAGAGGAGATCAGCCAGGGTGAGGTTGGCTATGAGCAGGTTGAATCGGGTACGGAGTTTGGGCTGGATAGCCAAGGCCAGTAAGGTGAGCACATTGCCCACGGTGCCTGTCACAGCCACCACCACCCCCCAGCTAACTGCAACATAACGATAGCCCAGCACAGACTCATGGTAGCAGGAGAAGTTGGCATCAGACGTGTTCCACATGTTAGAGGCTAAAAGAGGCAGAAGGTGGAAAAGGAAGAAGGAATCAGAACCTAGCATTCAACTTGGATCTCTTTTTTTTTTTTTTTTTTTTTTTTTTATGAGACGGAGTTTCGCTCTTGTTACCCAGGCTGGAGTGCAATGGCGCGATCTCGGCTCACCGCAACCTCCGCCTCCTGGGTTCAGGCAATTCTCCTGCCTCAGCCTCCTGAGTAGCTGGGATTACAGGCACGAGCCACCATGCCCAGCTGATTTTTTGTATTTTTAGTAGAGACGGGGTTTCACCATGTTGACCAGGATGGTCTTGATCTCTTGACCTCGTGATCCAGCCGCCTCGGCCTCCCAAAGTGCTGGGATTACAGGCGTGAGCCACCGCGCCCGGCTTCTTTTTTTTTTTTTTTTTTTTGAGACAGAGTCTTGCTCTACAGTGCAGTGGCACGATCTCGGCTCACTGCAACCTCCACCTCCCGGGATCAGGCAATTTTCCTGCCTCAGCCTTCCGAGTAACTGGGATTACAGGCGTTTGCCACCACACCCAGCTAAGTTTTTGTATTTTTAGTAGAGATGGGGTTTCACCATGTTGCCCAGGATGGTCTCAATCTCTTGACCTTGTGATCCCCCCGCCTCGGCCCCCCCAAAGTGCTGGGATTACAGGCATGAGCCACCACGTCCGGCCTTAACTTGGATCTCTTGAACAGCTCTGGGACCCTGGGCATCTGAACTGCTCCTGGACCTCACCGTAATTCACTATCCTCCTGAGCCATTCCCAGTCCTCTACATCTCAAGATCCCTAACTCTCTCCTTAGGTTCTTAGTCCTTACCATTCTCAAATATTTCCCCAAGTTTTTATATAAATATCTCTTGCCTAAATATCTTAGTCTTATTCTGCTTCAAACTTCAGTCCTCTTCAATATCTGTCCTGTTGCTCTCAGTAAACCCAGCATCCTCCAACCTTACTAATTCCTTCTCCGTCCCTAAAGACCCCCAGAAGTCCCCTCTCTCTATTCAGCATCCTGTATTCAGGATCCTCTCTGCATTCAGTTCCCTCTGCTCCTCTCCACTATACACACATATAGGCTTTAGTCTTTTTCTTTGTTACCACCTGGGAGATGAGGAGACCAAGAAGGTAAAAGTATATTCACCACAAAGTACTTACCTGAGTTTCTTAGCTTTCAATTCTTTCTCCGATGGAAGAAGTTCAACTCACCCAAAGAGCAATCCTTTCTGGTGGGCAGTCAGGCTTCAAACAAGAGATATCCTGCTCTTACGTGTCCTATTATACTCCGCTGAAAGAATAAGAACTCCCCAGTTACTCAATCCTAGCCACTTCCTTCACTACCTCCGGTCCTACTAATTTTGCTTTGGCTAGTGAAATCTAGGCTTCTCTTTTGAAATTCCCCTGCTACTTACCTCAGAGTCGTTTCGCTCTTTCCTTTCTCCTTCCTGAAACCTGAGCTCTGTTTTCTTCCCCTCTTTTGCGCGGCAGATCTCACCTGTGAGAAAGAGATTATTGTCAAGAATTGCTAGGGCATGGAGTCAGAGCATAAGAACATTTGGGCCACTCCTCAAAGGGCCAAAAGATAAGACCAAGTTCCAGTAGCAGCTTTAGGTACCCCCAGAAGTCTTGAGTTTGTTTCAGAGGAGCACTACCTTTCTTCTCTGCAGGGCTTGGACATGGTTCAGGTCAGAGGGACCCATGTGACACCATAGCACATCTGAGGAACAGAGTTAGATGAAGAAAAGTAGAAAATCAGCATTCAGGATTCTGGTTTCATTCCCCTCAAGACATCAGGATCCTGTTCAATCATTCATTTATCCATTCACTCAACAACTTTGTATTGAGTGCCTACTATACATGACTCTGAGCTAGACTCTGGGGATACAGGAACGTCTGATACGCGGCCTTGTGCGTGGTCTACTAGGGGAGACAGATAAAAAAATATGCAAGCGCTTAATCAGTTCCCCAGAGCAAGGGTGAATAAACTTCGCCCTATGGGCCAAATCCAGCCTGCTATCTGTTTTTGTATAGCCTGTGACCCCATAATGTTTTTTATCATTTAAAAATGGTTATATTTAAAAAAAAAATGGTTATATTTTAGGTCAGGTGCTGTGGCTCATGCCCATAATCCCAGGACTTTGGGAGGCCAAGGAAGGCAGATCACTTGAGGTCAAGAGTTTGAGACCAGCCTGGCCAACATGATGAAACCCTGTCTCTACTAAAAATACAAAAGTTAGCCAGGCATGGTGAGCAGGCCTGTAACTGTAGCTACTAGGGAGGCTGAGGCAAGAGAATTGCTTGAATCCGGGAGGCGGAGGTTGCAGTGAGCCAAGATCAGACTGAGCCATGGAATTTCAGCCTGGACAGCAGAGCAACACTCTGTCTCAAAACATAAATAAGTAAATAAAATCAAATGGTTATATTTTAAATATTTGTATAAGTACCTATGTAATATCCTCAGTTTTATCTCTTGATCAACACAGTTTAAAATATTTGTAATCAGGCCCTTTGAGAAAAAGTTTGCTGAGGCTTGCTTTAGAATACTATATAGGGGCTGGGCACAGTGGCTCATGCGTGCAATCCCAGCACTTTGGGAGACCCAGGTGGGCGGATCATGAGGTCAGGAGATCGAGACCATCCTGGCTAACACGGTGAAATGCCATCTCTACTAAAAATACAAAAAATTAGCTGGGCATGGTGGCAGGCACCTGTAGTCCCAGCTACTTGGGAGGCTGAGGCAGGAGAATCACTTGAACCCGGGAGGCGGAGGTTGTAGTGAGCCAAGATGGTGCCACTGCACTCCAGCCTGGGTTACAGAGAGAGACTCCATCTCAAAAACAAAAACAAAAACAAAAAACCTGTATAATAAAGGCCTGGATTGGAGGCTCATGCCTGTAATCTCAACACTTTGGGAGGCTGAGATGGGAGAATGGCTTGAGACCAGGAGTTTAAGACCAGCCTGGGCAACATAGTGAGACCCTGTCTTTAAAATAGTAATAATTTTTTTTTTTTTTTTGAGACGGAGTTTCACTCTTGTTACCCAGGCTGGAGTGCAATGGCGCGATCTCGGCTCACCGCAACCTCCGCCTCCTGGGTTCAGGCAATTCTCCTGCCTCAGCCTCCCGAGTAGCTGGGATTACAGGCACGCGCCACCATGCCCAGCTAATTTTTTGTATTTTTAGTAGAGATGGGGTTTCACCATGTTGACCAGGATGGTCTCGATCTCTCGACCTCGTGATCCACCCGCCTCGGCCTCCCAAAGTGCTGGGATTACAGGCTTGAGCCAACGCACCCGGCAATAGTAATAATTTTAAAAAGATCAGCTAGGTGTGTTGATGTGTACCTGTAGTTCCAGCTACTCGGGAGGCTGAGGCAGGAAGGTCATTTGAGCCTGGGCATTCAAGCCCACAGAGAGCTAAGATCGTGCCACTACACTCCAGCCTGGGTGACACAGCAGGGCGTTGTGTCTAAAAAATTTACAGGCTCACAGCTGTAATCCCAGAACTTTTGGAGGCTGAGGTGGGCAGATCAGTTGAGACCAGGAGTTTGAGACCAGCCTGGCCAACATAGAGAAACCCCTCTACTAAAAATACAAACATTAGCTGGCCACAGTGGCGCACGCCTGTTAATTCCAGGTACTCGGGAGGCTGAGGCAGGAGAATTGCTTGAACTCAAGAGGTGGAGGTTGCAGTGAGCTGAGATCACACCACTGCACTCCATCCTGGCCAAGAGAGCAAAAACTCTTTCTCAAACAACAAACAACAAACAACAAACAAACAAACACCCAAAACTGTGTATCAGGGGCTTAGAGAAAAGTAGCATACTACTGAGGAGGTGAGGAAAGCATTCACAGAGAGGTACCTGAGCTGCATTTTGAATGACGAACAGGAGAGTTTTGTGGGATATGAGTAGAAGGACATTCTAGACAAAGAGAACAGTATGTGTAGAGGTGCAGAAGTTTAGGTAGATGCCAACAAGGGGCATGGGGTAGACAGCCACAGAGAAGAGCCTGGAGAAATGAGCTGGCAGGGTCAAGAGGGACCTTGTGTATTGTGCTAAGGAGCTGGGGTTTTATGCTGAAGGAGTTGGTGAGATTTGCACTCAGACTGCTGTGAGTAAGGGATGAAGGTATGCAGGCTAGGAGTGAGCGAGGTCAGTAAAGAGGCACTAGTGGCCGGGCGCGGTGGCTCACGCCTTTAATCCCAGCACTTTGGGAGGCCGAGGCAGGTGGGTCACGAGGTCAGGAGATTGAGACTAGCCTGGCCAACATGGTGAAACCCCGTCTCTACTAGAAATACAAAAATTAGCCTGGCGTGGTGGCTGATGCCTGAAATCCCAGCTACTCAGGAGACTGAGGCAGGAGAATCACTTGAACCTGGCAGGCGGAGGTTGCAGTGAGAGGAGACCATGCCATTGTACTCCAGCCTGGGTGACAAAGCCAGATTCCGTCTCAAAAAAAAAAAAAAAAAAAAGCACTAGTTCAAACAAGAGGTTAGGGCCAGACCACCTGTGTAGGGCCCTGGTGTCAATGCTCTTCAATCACTATCTTTTTCTTTCGAGACGAAGTTTCACTCTTGTTGCTCAAGCTGGAGTGCAATGGTGCGATCTTGGCTCACTATATAACCTCTGCCTCCTTGGTTCAAGCAATTCTGCCTCAGCCTCCCGAGTAGCTGGGATTACAGGCATGTGTGACCATGTCTAGCTAATTTTTTTGTATTTTTAGTAGAAATGGGGTTCTACCATGTTAGCCAGGCCAGGCTTGAACTCCTGACCTCAGGTGATCCATCTGCCTTGGCCTCCCAAAGTGCTGGGATTACAGGCATGAGCCATTGCACCCCGCCCACTGTCTTTGAATTCTTAATACTTTTTGAATAAGGGACCCTGGTTTTTCATTTTGCACTGGGCCCCACAAATTATGGAACCAGTCCTGGTTATGGCAGTGGTTGTGGGAATGGAGGAATGATAAGGATCCATAGGTTGTTAGGAGGTCAAATAGGTCTTATTTAATGATTCATTGGATAAAGAGTTAGGAAGAAGGAGGAACTTAGGATGACTTTCTGGTTTCCAGAGGGATGGTGGTGCTCTTAATAAGACAGGGAATGTAGGAGGAGGAGGCTGGTTAAAACTGAATAATGAATTCAGCTTTAAACTAGCAGACTTGAGGCACATGTGGGGTGCGCTAGTATCCCAGAGTAACCCCAATTTCTTCCAGTCCTTATCTCCCTCCCCACGTGTGACCCAGCCCCTGCTTTTCTCTACCTACTCTTCTATAGGGCTTGTCTTGTCCCTCATTCTTCTGGATCCTCCCACCCCTTTTAAAGCTCGATTTACCTGAAAATGAACAAGCAAACAAACACCAAAGCACTCCTTGGTGGGTTCCAATTCTGGACCCACAGTCAACAACCACGTTTCAACTTCACAGTTGACAAACCCCGGAGGCCCCCATTCCCCTCTCCTTCCTGTTTGTCAGTCATCATTCCCTCCTCCTCTCTCTGCAAGACTGGGAAGTGGGTAGAGAGGGGGAAGTGAGCAAAGATGAAAGTCAGGAGAACCTCACATACATTCTGGGTTTTGGTTTGATCTCTTTTGTTTGAATTTCCTGCCATTCAGTAGGGCTACAGAGACGGGGTCAGGAGCATTGGCTGCTCTGGGTAGTGTATGGTTGGATCAGATTTTGGGGATAACGGAGAGACCATTTTCCCCACACACCATTCGAGAGACAGCGGAGCGGTATTCCCCTGTCCCACAGACCATTTATTTAGGGGGCCCGCTGAGAAGGTTTTCCAGTATATCTGTAAATGGCGCAGTCCCAGTTCTTCAGTCTTGGATACATGAGATCTCAGTGAACCTGTAAAAGACTCAAGTCTCCTCATTTTGAAGCCTGCGCCACTGAGGTCCAGAGAGGGAAAGGACTAATTCAAGGTCACTATTTATGTGGAGCCAGAGCCTAGAGCTCAGATCCCCAGTCTCTGCCCCCATTGCTTCCTGTGCCTTGAGTCTCGCTGGCGTGGGTTTCCCACCAGACGCACAAAAGCCTGGATTCTTTCCTTTGTCTGAGACTGAGTCTTAGACCCATCTGCGTGGAATCTCGAGACACATCACAGGGCGCCTTAGCCTCGGGGAGACTCTTTTCCGCGTCGTTAGCGCCGCCTTGTGGAGTTGCGGCACATTCTCAACAGCGGCCGTTGCAGTCCCAGACCTGGACTCGAAATGATCCCCCAGGCGAAGTTTACCCGAGCTGGACGAGAATG